CTCTGCTGCCTGGCCTGCTGTGTTCATCCAGCTCCACACCTTTGTTACCTCAGACTCCAGCATCGGCAGTTCCAACTACCTCTTTTAAAAAAAAAATCAAAATCTACTCATGCTATTGTAATAAAATGACTAGTTCCTTCTCCACCTTATTCTCTACTGAAGGACTTGACTCCTTGCTGAGATATGGTTCCAAACAGTGAAATGCTATCCTGAAGTGCACGTCAATACTTGGTCTTCATTTGTGAGCCTTCACAGTTGAAGCAGGACATCTTGACAATCCAGACCCTGTCCTCATTTACCATCAATCTCGAACAGTGCTGAACAGCTTCAGAAACAGGAACCACAAATGATTTTCCCTTCATTGACCTCAGGGTGCCGATGCTCACTGAAGTGGTCCCAACTGGTGTGCTCAGAAATATTGGAGAAAAGGCACATAACATGTAATGTATCAAATCAGCAAAAGAAGAGTGTTAACAATGTACTTAAGGAGCAGGTTCCAGCAACAGAAATGCTGTGGATAAAAAAACCCTACCGATCAAGGCTTGGAGAAGCCATCAACACAAACCCTCAAGGTGTTTGGCTAATTCAAAAGGTGACACATATACAAGGTGCATAAATCTCATGCAAATTAATAAAACACTTTTAAAGAGCTCTGAATTAAATCCAAATCTCCAAATTTGTAATCTCGATGCAAAATGGTCAATTCTGGGCGCAGTACACAAAGTCAGATCAATAAAAGGAAATAAGAAATAAAAACCGAAAGAACTGTGGATGCTGTAAATCAGGAACAAAAACAGAAGTTGCTAGAAAAGCTCAGACCTTCCTCAGAAGTCACTGGACCCGAAACATAACTCTGATCTTTTCTTCACAGATGCTGCTAGACCTGCTGATCTTTTATTGTTTTCAATGAATTAATAACACATCAAAATGTTTTACAGTCAAAGTTCTTACAAAGTAGAGTCATTGTTGTCACATTGGGAATGCAGCAGCGAATTTGCTCGAAGCAAACTTCCAAAGCATTGATGTGATAATGACTAGACAATAGATCATTTTTAGACCAACATTCATTGATGGATAAATATTGGACATGCCACTGGCTTAGCTCTCCTTCTAAGACTGCCTTTGTTTAATAGGTTCATTTGAGCAATCAAACCAGTTTAATGTTTGATCTGAAAGTCAGCATCTCTGACAGTGCAGCATTGTTTAATTACTACATGGATTGTCAACCTGGATTTTTGTGCTCAAGTGGGTCTTGAACTCTCAACGTTATGTCTCAGACAAGGCTGCCACCAACTGGTGTTTGTATGATTCAACAATCAGGACACAACATCCACCTATCCACTTCTAGGAACTAAATATATAGTCACTTCAATCATATTTGTGACAACTACTAATGCTGACAGGATAGTGTGACTCTTACCACCATCTGGTTGACTTTTAACTGCACCGCTACTTCTTTGGCTTTTATTCAAAGCTTAGCACCATAGAATCCCTACAGTGCTTACACAGGCCACGCAGTCCATCAAGTCTGCACCGACCCTCTGAAGAGCATCCCGCCACCCCACATTTACCATAGCTAACCTGTCTAGCCTGCACAACCCTGGACGCTACAGGACAATTTAGCATGGCCAATCCATCTGATGGATCATCTTTTAGGGGAGCACAGTTTGTCAAAATGTAAACACAGTTACAACAGATTTGTATTCTCAAAATGAGAACTGCTGTTAAAAGAGACAGAGATTCTTTAAGAAATTATCACCTTCAGTCCAGGCAGCTGGTGCAATTCCCAGATCATTGAAGAGTTTTTCAGATAACATTGCAGGAGGTCTCACAGAGCCACGACCAATTGGATCAAGTTTGAAGAAATCACAATGCACAACCTCCAACTGTCCATGCAAACGTCTTTCTAGGGACTAAATGTTTATTTCAACAGTTTAAAGAATGCTTCCAAAGACAGTTTCCAAGTACTGTCACATTAAAACATCAGTTACTATTTACTGTGGTGTATTCTAATGGAATGGGAGTCTTCATCTTTTAATGCAAACTAGATAAAACATTAACCAGAACAACACAATTGTATGAGGAGCAATGGGCAGAATGAGTAGGAACAGAGATGCAGGAATTGGCAATTAAGCCAGTTGAGTCTCTTCCACCATTCAATTCGATCACAGCTGACTTTGACCAATTGCCATGAATCTCCTGAAAGCCCACATCCCTTAACCTTTGGCTCAAGATTCTCAATCACGGGTGTCTAACAGCTCTACCTGTGAAGCAGGAGGCTCAGGTTCAAGTAGCCCCTGCTCCAGAGGTGGGTAGTAACATCTCTGAGTAGTCTGATTAGAAAATATCAGCATCTCCCTGTATGAAACAAACTGGGCAAAGATGATACCATAAAATATCCTCTCATCTTAACGAGTCATACATGTAACCAAACAGATCACAAAGAGGAGGACAGATCAATGGGTAAGTGACGCCTGAAGGAACCCGTCAGGCGAGAATGGGAGATGGCATTCTTCAATGTTCAATGTTCATCGACCTCAACAGTCAATTAGATATTTTGATTATGCACTCCTGAAATGAATTAGAAGAAGTGAGCCTCACCTCATCTAGGACATTCAGAATGTAATGGCATAATTGATCATTCTGTAGATCGTGGCTGGAAAAAGTTAATAAGCCGCAAGTTTGAAATGGAAGTTAGTCGAGCCTATTGTCCACGTCAAAACAGAAGATGCCAGAGGTACTGGAGAGAGACTAGAGACAGAATGTGGAGCCCGCACCTGAAGCTGAACTGGAAAGCAAGAGCTGTAGCAATTAGGAAGGCAAATGGAATGTTATTTATCGAGGGGGGAATGAAATGTAGAAGTAAGGAGGTGTTAGTGCAGCTATATAGGGTCTTGGTGAAATGATAGCTGGAATACCATCACCAGTAAGAGACAATCTAACCATCACTCCTTGACATTCAATAATGTTACCATCACTGAATCCCCCACTATGAACATCCTGGGGATTATCATTGACCAGAAACTCAACTGGACTCACCAAATAATCAGTGGCTACAACAGCAGGTCAAAGACTAGGAATTCTGTGGTGAGTAACTCACCAAAGCCTGTCCGCCATCTACAAGGCACAAGTCAGGAGTGTGATGGAATACTCTCCACTTGCCTGGATGAGTGCTGCTACAACAATACTCAAGAAGCTTGGCACCATCCAGGACAAAGTAGCCCGCTGAATTGGCACTACATCCACTCCTTCCACCACTGTGTACTATCTACAAGAAGCACTGCCAAAATTCAAAGATCCTCAGACAGCACCTTCCAAAGTCACAACCACTTCCATCCAGAAGGACAAGGGCAGCAGGTATACAGGAACACCACCACCTTCAAGTTCCCCTCCAAGTCACTCACCATGCTGACTTGGAAATATATTGCCATTCCTTCACTCTGATTGGGTCAAAATCCTGGAATTCCCTCCCTAAAGGGATTGTGAGTCAATCCAAATTAGGTGGACTGCAGTGGTTCAAGAAGGCAGCTCACCACCACCTTCTCAAGGGCAACTAGGGATGGGCAATAAATGCTGGCCACATCCCACAAATTAATAAGTAAAAAGTTAAAAACATGGACAATTTTGGTCTCCTTATTTTAAAAAAGCATTTAGAGAAGGTTCACTCGTCTTATTGCTGGATGGAAGGGCTTGTCCTTTGAAGAATGGGTGAACAAGTTAGGCCAGTATCCATTGGAATCTCTAAGAATGGGAAGTGATCTTATTGAAAGACAAGATGCTGAAGGGACTTGAGAAATTGTATGCCAAGAAAACACATGCTTTTGTAAGGGAAAGACTCAAACTAAGGGTTTGAATAGAGGTCTCTTTTCGAAGCAGAATGAGTAATTAGCTTATCTGAAGATTGTAAACATAGGGAATTCTCTTCTCCAGAAAGCACTGCAGGCTGGGTCACTGAATTAATTTGAAATAATTGTGATAGGTTACAGTGACCAAACAGGAAAGTGGAGTTAAGATCGCAACCACATAAACCATAACCTTAATGGCTTATTCCTAAGTCTTGAGTGAGAGTGTTACTTGGAGATTCCCATTTTCATGCAAACTTTAAGTTCTGGCTTAACAGAAAGCTACATAATAAACGAAAAAACTGCGGATGCTGTAAATCAGGAACAAAAACAAAGTTGCTGGAAAAGCTCAGCAGGTCTGGCAGCATCTGTGAAGGTAAAAACAGAGTTAACGTTTTGGGTCCGGTGACCCTTCCTCAGAACTAAGTTCAGTTCCTTCCTCAGTTCTGAGGAAGGGTCACAGGACCCGAAACGTTAACTCTGTTTTTACCTTCACAGATGCTGCCAAACCTGCTGAGCTTTTCCAGCAACTTTGTTTTTGTTAACAGAAAGTTATATGGGCTTGGCGGAGTTGGTTTTGGTGAGAAAAGACCCACAACTGGACCCAAAACAATCAGTGTAGACACTGATACAAGAATACTTCTTTTTAAAATGCGACATGCAGGAAGAAGAGAATTGACTTTCATGGTAACTTAGACAATAACTTTTGCTAACATGGCTGCAGAGCAGAATGAATAATCTGAAGAGAGGTAAAAGTTTTCTGACTGAGGGAACAGCACTGAAATGTTCTAGCAAATTATGATCACTTCACCTTTGCATCTACAGAAAGCATGATCTTAATTTCTTTTTCAACTTAAAAACCAACATCAGGAATCAATGAGGAGTTGGAATTCCAATGATTGGACTATCTAAAGGCAAGTTCCATGCATTCTCCCATGTATCTTATACACAAAACTGTGAAGTGTTCAGTGTCTCAAATTAACTTTGATCAAGTAAACAAAGATAAAATTACAAACGTACCTGCAATGCAGGGAGAAACTGCTTGTCACTCTCCAAAGCCACCACTCTCTGTGCTCCACCATTCAGCAGTGCACGTGTCAAAACTCCAGGCCCTAAGAGTGCAATTAAACCAAACTCATCATCAAGGAAAGAGAAAGATTCTTAAAGTGCTAACATACAGTTTCAAAAAGAAAGAGTACCTGGATTGCACTCAAAAATTAGAGCATTATTTTCAGAAAGGTCGCCATCAAGACATTCCACAATGAGATTTGCCAGTTCAGGATTAAGAATAAATCTCCTGAAATATCTACTCTTCTCTGCCTTGGTTATTATTTCTTCAATATCTTCCATGTCCAGAAAGTCAAACCTAGATAACGGCCTCTGTTGTTCTTTTCTGTATATTGAACTGGCAACTGCAGACAAATATCGCTCTGTCCTGCCACAACAGGTCGAATATTTTGCAAGCTTGAGTAGAGACTGATTTTTTGGTGCATGACTGTCTGGAAATCTTGTGTCATGCAAGTATGTTTTTAGTGAATGCTGTACTTGTTGCAAACAACCACATGTTCTACAGGTAACAGTCCTTACAGTGAAAAGCACAGTCTTGTACTTTAATAATGCCATTTTGATTGTGACCTAAAATAGAGAAATTATTAAAATTTTAGATGATGACATCAAATTCATATCTATCATGTGCACCATATCCGAATATACTCCTACACTGTTAAAGTCAAAATTATATTTCACATCATTGTAGATGAAGATTTTAAATCACACTTGTTACATATGGCTGTTACCTTTATACAGGATTGGACAAAGTCTTAAAACACCTGTGAACTGAGAGGAATAGAGCTCAGGTTACAATGTGACTTCACCACATACTCATATTTAAAAGGTGCTGCTGAATAGCAAAATCAATGTTTAATTCTATCTGATTTTAACTCACTGAATTATGAAAGTCAACTGTAGCCATAACATTGATTTAAATCAAATCTCAACATAGACAATGCCTTGATCATTCTGCATTATTAGCTCCCATAATAGTGATGTTTCAAACAACATTCATGATGGCTTTTAGAAAACATTGTTAACAAATCAAAATTTCTTGCATTCTTATGCTCCCCCAAAGTTTAATCTGAGGTTATTCATTTACAATTTATGCCTTTACTTACAGGCTGTGACTTGTGCGTGAGGTAACAATTTCAGTCAAGAACAGATGAAAAATCATTCATATATGCTAACTATGAAAAAGTTCTCTTTTCAAGAGGGCAGTTAAAGATAATGTCAGCTGCTTCCCTTTCTAAAATCAAAGTATTATAGATAATACAAGAAAAACGAATATAAACCAAATATTCAAAGCTTGACTTGAATAATTTTCAAGTACAAAATGAAGTGGTGATAAATATCATGACTGACTGTCATTAGAATGTTTATGTCAGGTTGTTTGGTCACCTGTCTTTGAGGTTAAGGGAAAATTGCTCACGACAACAGCACATGGTTAATATATTGAATTCGACATTTCTCCAGAGATGAAACTGCTCTGTATTCCTTCAATTTTCTCTACTCTGAATTCCAAAAACTAATGAAATTAACTTATTTTTATTAGGGAAGCCTGTTATCCCAGCCCCTTTAACAAAAATGTCTTGCTCCTTAGGTTTTACAGCAGGTGCATAGGACCACAGGACCTTAGTGTGATTACCACATCTGGAGTGCTGTGAATAGCTTTGGCCTTTGTTTGAAAAAGGAAAATAATTGTTAGAAGCAGTTAAAAGTAGGTTCACTCCACTCATTTCTGGGATGAAAGGTTTACCTGAAAAAGGAAAGATTTAACAGGTTGGGCCTTCACTGACTGGAATTGACAAGGATATATCAAAATGCTACAAAGGCCAATGAGGTAACAGCATGCTATTGATACACAATATGCTAGGTTCACAAAAGTGATAAAGCAAACAAACAAATTGTAAAAACTGAACGACAGACATAGCAATAGCACTCCAGGTTAATGAACTGCAAACTAAAACACAACAGTCCAGTACAGTACTGATGATGATACTGGAATAGTAATCTAGTGTTTGATAATCACTTCAAATCTCATTAACAACGACAAAAACAGAAGTTGCTGGAAAAGTTCAGCAGGTCTGGCAGCATCTGTGAAAAAAAATCATAGTTAACGTTTCGGGTCCGGTGACCCTTCCTCAGAACCCAATTCCTATTAAGACTGTTCGATTACGATAAGTAAAAACAAATATCGGAATTTAGTTTACACAGGTGGCTGCAATATGCACGCGGGTGCTCGATTAAAGTTTTGGCTCTTACAAACTGGAATTTACAGCACCTCCAAGGCACTGAATGCGGAATTTTCGCGATATTAACGAATATGTCGATGGCGGGCAGAGAGAGTCCACTCACTCCTAGTGATGCCTGATTTAGGATCAGGAGCAATCTCCCTAAGTGACATCAGTTAGCTGGGTCTATCAGGGGCGACTCCAAGATATCGTGCGTTGCAGCTGTTACGAAATTCACATCTCACGGTCTTTCCGCATGGACACTGTCTGCGTTGCGAAGAGAGAAAGAGCGAGAAATGCATCGGGGATGCCTGACCTGATGGGGAAGGGGAATGAAATACCCCAGGACAGCGGAATGGGTTCAATCGCCGCTCTTGCTCCTACTACAGCGGCTGCTTAACGCTCCGCAGACCCCAACCATGCCGCCGCCATCGTGACATTGAGCCCAGCGTAACCGAGACGTCAGCACGTCCCCGGTGTGTGTCAACACGTCAGGTGACATCATTCCCAACCGTCGGCCCTGGCAACGCACAAGCCTCTGTTACTGACGCTCCCGGTAAATGACCGTTATTTGTTTAAAACACACCTTCAATTTCGGCTAGACAGGAGACAAAAAAAGTAGGGAGTGGAAGATGAGAAACGTTGCACTCGTTCCCGATGTATCGACTTCTTCCGTGGACTATTTTTTTCTGATCCAGCCCACTGCCAGCGAATATGCGGGAAGATTTAAGTGGCGCGTGCGCACTCACAGATCCGGCTGAACCCGTCGGCAACGGCGCGCATGCGCAGCAATAATGCTGCTCTTCCGGCTCTCACTCTTCCTTTTCCCAATCTGCTCGCGACCATTCCCCCACACCTCTCCGCAGGTCTTTGCTGTTATACCCCCTTTAGAATTGTATCCTTTATTTTCTGTAGGTTCTCTTCCATTCATATCCAAATGAACGCTTTGCTTAATTTGCCAAGTGTCTAAATGCACTGCAGAAATTCACCATGGCTTCTTCGACAGCATCTTCTAAACGCACAACCGTTACCATCTAGAAGGAGAATTGCATTCCCTGCAAGTTCCCCTTCAAGACTCTCATCATCTGTTTTGGAAATGTATTGGCTATCCTTCAAAGACTGGTGCAGACACGACAGATTAAACAGTTTCTTTTTCCTGTGCTGTTTAAAAAAAACTCCGATTCTGTGGCTGGGTAAAAGTCCTCGAACTCCCCAACATCATTGTGGGTCTGCCTACACCAAATGGACTGCAGCAGTTGAAGAAGGCAGCTCACCATTGGGGTACTCAGCCAGTGAAGCCCACGACACGTGAGTGAATTTTTAAAAAAACTTGTCTTCTTGAGTTTTTTTCACTGTCATCATCACAGTTCATTAAAACTTCAAACTTTCCTGTCATCTGCAGATTTTGCAATTGTACCCAATACACCTAAAACTAGTTTATCAATATAGATCAACAAAAGCAGTGATCCAAAGACTGACAGCCTCCCACATCCCACTTTCACCATCCCTGCTCACTAACCCTCCTAATCATTGCTTCCAAGTCATTTGCTGACCCTCAGCTTCCTGTCCCATATGCTCATCGCTTCTCTTCCAAATTCTCTCACCTGCAGCTCCTATCGGGCACTTCCTCACTTTCGCCACATCTCCCAAGAAGCCATGAGCAGGAGGGTGAGGGAAGAAAGCAATTATTGAGAAGAGTAATGAATGGGTGGATCAGGAAACAGAAGGAGGATTGTCCATTTTGATTGGAAGAATAAAAAAGAAGCATGTTATCTAAATGATGAATGATTGCACAGCTCTGATGTTGACAAAGATCTCGGTGTACTCAGGCATGAATCACAAAGGGTTAGTCAGCAGGTTCATTAAGTAATTAGGAAAATTAACAGAATGTGAACATTTATTGTAAGGGGAATTAAATACAAAAGAAGGGAAATTATGCTTCAGTTACTAAAACAAAGTTGCTGAAAAAGCTCAGCAGGTCTGGCAGCATCTGTGAAGGAGAAAACAAAATTAACGTTTTGGGTCCGGTGACCCTTCCTCAGTTAATGCTTCAGTTGTATTGGGCATTAATGAGACCACATTTGGATTACTGTACAAATTGGTCACCTTATTTAAGGGAGGATGTATATACGTTGCTGTAAGCTCAGAGAAGGTTTACAAGACACATACCTGGAATGAGTGGAATGTACCATAAGGAAAGTTTGGACAGACTAGTTTTGTGTCTGCTGGAATTTAAAACAGTAAGAGGCAACTTGATTGAAACAAGAAATCTTGAGGGATCTCGACAGGGTGGATATGCAGGAGATGTTTCCTCTTATGGGAGAGAAAAAAATAAGAATGAGGGGTGCAGGTTTAAAAATCTGGGGTCACCCATTTAAAACAGTGATTAGGTGAATTCTTTTTCTCTCAGAGGATCATGAGTCTCTGGAATTTTGATCCTGGTAGAAGCAGACCTGTTGAATATTTTTAAGGCAGAGGGCGATATAATCTTGTTAACCAAGGAGTTGAAAGATTATCGGGGTAGATGAGAGTGTGGATGTCAGATTACAATTGGATCAGCCATGATCTTGTTGAATGGCAGAGCAGGCTCGAGGGGCTCACTCACCTACCCTTGATCTGAATCTGTATATTCATATATACATATGGTTGTGTGTTGGGAAGCTGAAGTGTTAGAGAGTGGCAGAGTCAGCAAATGCAGTGAGTGGGAGGGCCAGATTGGAAGAGATCTGGGGAGTTGGATGGTCAATGAGCTGGAGGGTGGAAGGGAGGTGTGGAACAGAAGCAGTGAGTGAAAGGTATTTAGACAGAGCTAGCATATTTTAATTACACTTATTTTAAATGATTTCATTTACAAATATTGAAATTTACAGCATTTAAATTCAGAGTGTACAACATTTTAATTTTATTTCCTGATGAGCAAAGTCTTACAAAACCCACTGATAGATATTATGTTTATAATGGAAAATCTGATCCATTTATCATTGCTTCATTTAAATCTGCAGTTTTAAGAGTGTAACTACAACCTTAAGTGAGTAATTACAAAATTCCAAACTCCTTTTGTTTCTTTCCACTATTAAGTATTGCATATTTGATTGTCTTGGAGCACTACATGATAAAATACATTAGCTCACACTTCACTGTTTTATTTTCCACTTTTCTGCCAAACAGACCATACTATCTACATCTATGTGCAGCCCTGCACTTGTCAAACACTTCTGAAAGTCCATAAATAACTGGAGTACTGTGTGCAGTTCCGGTCACTGAATTAGAGGAAAGGTGTGATTACATGATAGAGGGGGCAGAGGAGATTTTCCAGGATGCTGCTTAGGCTGGAGGGTCGAAGTTATAAGATTTGGGGAAAGGTGAATGGGCAGGGTTTGATTTCCTTGAAGCAGTGAAGGTTGGAAGGAGACCTGATAGAGGTATACATATAGAGGATAGCGTGGATCCGAAGGCACTTTTTTCCATTAATAGAATAACCAAGCAATAACCAGGGGTCATAGATTTAAGTTAAACAATAAAAGGCTGAGAAGAGAGTTGAGGAGAAGCTTTTTCATTTATAGGATCGTGAGAGTCCAGGCCTTATTGCCTAAAAGGGGGGTTTAGTCAGAAACTTTCACAATGTCTCAGCAGTATTTAGATATTCAGTTGCATTGCCGTAGCTCCAGGTATATGGGCCAAAAGCTGGAAAATGAGATTATTGTAGTCAGTTCTTTGTTGATCAAAGCAGACATGACGAGATGAATAGCCAGATTACTTCTGTCAAAACCAAAAGAACTACGGATGCTGGAAATCAGGAATAACAACAGCAATTGCTGGAAAGGCTCAGCAGGTCTGGCAGCATGTGTGGAGAGAAATCAGGTTCAGCGACCGTTCCTCAGAACTCGTGTTCTCATCTCCTGACTCCCCAAAGTCTGGCCAACATCTACAAGCCACAAATCAGGAGTGTGGTGGAATATTCCCCACTTGGAGTGTAGCTCCATCAACACTTGAAAAGCTTGATACCATCCAGGACAAAGCAGCCCACTTGATTGGCACCACATCCATAAACATCCACCGCCAATGCTCAGTACCAGCAGTGTATCCTATCTCCAAGAAGCACCACAGAAATTTGCAGAAGATCCTTTAACAGCACCTTCCATGATCAGTTCCATCCAGAAGGAAAAGGGCTGCTGATATACTGTAAAATTGTGTCCTGTAGATTCCCCTCCAAGCCACTCATCATCCTGACTTGGAAATATTTTGCCATTCTTTCACTGTCAATGGGTCAAAATCCTGAAATTCCCTCCCGAAGGGCATTGTGGGTCTACCTACAATACATGGACTGCAATGGTTTAAGAATGCAGCTCAAGACAACCTTCTCAAGGTCAACTAAAAGCGTGCAATAAATCCTGGCCAGCCAGCAACGCCCACATCCCACAAGAGAATAAAAAAAATTAAGTCTCAGTTTTCCTGGGTTAGGTGGTTCTGGCTTTGCTCCCATGCTGTAATACAATATGCTTGTGATGTCTTCCTGTGAGTGACATCCCAGGCCTTTTTGGTGACAAGGCAATCTGGCAAAATGAAGAGAATGTGGGAAAAATATCCATGATTTTGTTGTTTTCAAAATTGGGAGATCATTCAATACATCTAACATTCTATCATATAACTTTACAAAAATGAAGCTCAAAACAGTTTTATTGAATGGGTAAATTTTGCAAGTGATTTGAAGACAATAAGATGTTGCTGATCAGTCGGTCTGTTTTTTGCAATTTTGATTGAGTAAAGAATGTTGGCCAGGACATTTTTCTGCACTTTTAATAATGTTGAAATAATGTTTCACATTCACAGGAGGAAGTACATTAATTTGTCAATACTTTGAGGAATATCTAACCTGGAAGATCACATCTCCAACGATGGAACACAAGCACAATGCTGCATGCAATATGTACATGTTAGAGTCTGTTGGATATTGGGATCCCTTAAAATCTGATGTTTTTAAGCATTTACTGTGTAGAATGAAATTTCATTTAACAGCTTTTACAACAGTAATTAACTTTCCAAAATTCTCACATGGGTAAGCCAAAGGGAAGAATTATGAGAAACACAGAAGTCATGAAGCACATTGAACTGGCATCAACAATTTATCTGGTGCCAAATGTACCCTAACATCAATATATTGTTTTTGAAAATGAGACGGTGTTGTTCTTAGAAGGAATGAAAACTAACCATCAAATGGAGGTGGGCAAGGGGTCTGCAGTCATCTGATGTCATTGGTAGCTATCAAATAGCCATTCGCCAGGAGTGGTCAGACAAGTGTTTGAATGAAAGACCCCATAACAAGGTATATTAACAAGGACAGGGGGGGAGGAAGAGGCAAGAAGATCCGAGGAAATGAGTCACTCTATCTGCTTGGGGGAAAGCCAGGAGGTCCCCTTCATCAGGGAAGAACAAAGACTGTTGGTACCGAGACCACCAAAGACTACCAGAGTCCACCACAAAAGGGCATAGAACCACTGGGACATGGGGGTGCATTGCTATTCCACTCCATTCTGCAGAATGGTTATAGGATAAATATTCTCATCTGTCATAGGTTGTATATTTCTTTCCTGTGCCTAATTAACTAACGTACCATATCTAAACTGCTGTTTCTCAATAAACTACCAGAAAATTGCTATAAATCATCAAATGCCTATATTAAGCAACTCTGATCATGAACCCCTAAAATCAACAAGTCTACTTCTCTCTTATGGGGGTGTATAAAATGTCTATAATCGTGAGTGACTTCACTTTTGAACAGACCTCAAATGGGTAATTTTTTTAAAACACAACCAGCAAACACACACCTATCCTGCAAGTAAACCTTAACTATAAATCCAAGATAAACTTTGCTGTAGCATTTGCAATAACACAGTACAAGACTGTTATGAAAGATGTACTAGTTGGTTGATGTATGTGTACAGTGTATGACAACTACCAATTTACACACAAAATGAATCTCATTCTTGCTTTTCTCTTAATTGCATAATTGTACCTCAGCGTTTTGTAAAACATGATTTTCTGTATTTTGAACAAGTGATCAAGTGATCAAGTGATCAAGTGATCACTTCAATAACTTTGCTTGTGATGTTGAAACACAGGGGTGCTGTCTTGCATTGTAGGACAGAGTAATGGGTGCTGTCTTGCATTGTAGGACAGAGTAATGAGTCCTGTGTAAATCTTTACAACTATTAGAGCACATTTGCAAGTGTATTAAGCCCTATTAGTTGGGGATCTGATTAAACATGACTACAAGATTGAAATCTGAAATACTGTGGATTCTTCAAACAGATCCCTGTTGAAGAGACACAAAAATGCTGCTAGGGGCTGGAGGCACATATGTTTCCACTGAAAGCTGGTGGTGTTACTTGTTTGAAATTTCTCCTTCTCTGCAGGGCAATGTTCTTCTTCATGCACAATTGAATTGAAGAACTGTTTAGCACCATAAAGTGGGCCTAATTCAGCCTGTGGATCAGGCATTATGAACCTGTGACACATGAAAATGGCTGTATGGATTAAGTTGCAAAAGTGTGCCTCAACAAGTGTGTTTGGGCAAGGAAGTGTAAGAAGCTGACAATCTGTCTAAACGTTACCAGGGAATTTGTTTCGTGACTTTACAAGTAAAATATAATCGGCACTGAAATACCAATCAAGTTTGTTGCTGTCGTCTTCTGTGGAACTGGTTTTCACACAAAGCAATTTCTAGTCATGGCTTCAAAAGAATCAAATTCTACCCCAACTCACATTGCAAAGACTGTAGTGTAAAACATGAAAGTGTTGAGCATATCACATTAATAAATACGTAGATATTAAAAATATATTTGTATGATTTGAAATCAACAAATTTTCCATTCAGGTGGTTGGCAGTCAGTCATTATCTAGCTAGTGCATTTTCCATGGTGAAGCCTCTACCAGTCAGTGCCTACTTTCAACCAACTAGTCAGCACTCTCCTCTCCTACAGTATAAATTTTGGTTTTCTCCCTTGAATTGGTACTCTTGGAAAGTGTCCTGATGAATCCAAGATGAAAATCCCCTAACATTCTGTCTAGACACCCATGAAATCCCATGGTCTCAGGTCAAACATGGAAAAGGGAATCTGCTTATTTCAATTTACTGCACCTTTACCTTCAGCTGCTGCTGAATCAGTACTCCTCCATGTTTGCCAGAAGAAGTGGTAGATGCAGGTACAGTTACAATGGGTACGTGAATGGGAAAGGTTTAGAGGGATATGAGCCAAACACAAATAAATGGGACTTATTCAGTTTGGGAAACCTGGTCAGCATGGATGAGTTGGAGTGAAGGGTCTGTTCCCGTTCTGTATAATTTTATGCCTCTAGGACATCTTCAAGAAAAATCTTAGAACAGAACACTAGGAAATAGGTGTTTTAATTGAATGTTGCAAAACTAGAAACCATAAATATATGAAAAAATTTAATTAAACCTGTAAAGAATTCAGGAGAAATTTTGTCACACAGAGTAGTTAGGATATGGAACTTGCTACAATAGAGTAGTTGAGGTGAGTAGAATGCATTTAAGGGAAACTAGATTAAACATGAGTGAGAACATAAGAAAATAATATGCTGTTATGTTCTGTTGAAGTAGGATGGTCGAGATTTGAGTGAAGTGTGAACATTTGTATGGGATGAATCGAGCAAAATAACCAATCAAAAAATGGAGGAAGGGTTGTAATAGAATTCGCCAGGAATCAGTATTGGGACCCTTGCTTTTCCTGTTATATATAATGACATGGAACTTGATCTGAGGGGACAATTTCAAAGCTTCTAGATGACACTAAGCTTGATTGCAGACTGTGAGGTGGTCAATGTGGAACTCTGAAAGAACATTGATAAGGCGATGGAGTAGGCAGATGTGGTTCAATGCAGAGAAGTGTGAGGGGATGCCCCTTGGATGAATATTGAAAGAAGATATAAAATGGGGGTACAATTCTAAAGAAGTTGCAGGATCAGATAAACTTGGGGGTGTGTACGTGTATAGATCGTTGAAGGTGGCAGGGCGGATGGGGAGAGCAGTTAATAAAGCATACAGTATTCTTGGCTTTATTAGTACAGACATACAGTAGAAGAGCAGGGAGGTGATCTTGAACTTATACAAGACACTTGTTAGGCCTAAAATTGTGTGTCCAGTTCAGGGTGCCAAATTATAGGAAAGATGAGAATGCATTGGAGACAGTGCAGAAACAATTTACAAGAATGTTTCCAAGAATAAGAAACTTCAATTATGAGGATATATTGAAGAAGCTGGGACTGTTCTCCTTGGACAGAAGAAGGCTGAGAGGAGATTTGGTAGAGGTTTTCAAAATCATGAGCAGGCTGAATAGTATGGACAGAGCGATGCTGTTGCCATTCAAAAGAAGAGAGTGGAAGAGGGAATACATTTAAAGTACTGCGCAAACAAAGCAAGGGTGATGGAAGAAAGATGTTTTTTCATATACAGAGTAGTTAGGGTATGGAATGCACTACCTGGATAGGTGCTGGAGGCAGGTTCAGTTAAGACATTCAAAAGGGAATTGTATGATTACTTGAATAGAAACAATGCGCAGGGATGTGGAGGAAAGGGAGAAGATTGGCAGTAGGTTATAGAACAGGAACAGGCATGATGGACCAAATGGTCTCCTTCTGCATCATAAGGATTCTTTAGTTCTCTATGCAGATCTGCGCATAACAAATCAGGAATCAATAATGCACAACTGTTACGCCAAGAAGAGATGCAGAGAAGGCTGGGCAAGTCAAGAAACTCTTCACCTGGCCAAAGGAGCTCTTTACAGAACAGGTTCAGGTTGTTATGGCTTGCTCTGTCATGTTCCCTTCTCTGGTCTTGTGCACCCCATTTAGTCCTGCAGAAGAATCATGCAGTGTTTATTTTGGTCCATGTTGTGTCACCAGGAGGCATTGCAAGGCTTGAAGCCCATCTTTTCAAAATATGTCTGGAATGCAAGGGTCTCTGGCAAGACAAACACTTGTTATATAATCATATAAAACAGAGAAGTGCAAATGCTGGAAATCTGAAACAAAAAAGAGTTGCTGGAGAAACTCAGAAGAACCAGCAGTGTCTGTGAACAGAAGACAAGGCTAATATTTCAAGTCCAGTGACCCGGTCACTGGACCAAAAACGTTAACTCTGATTTCTCCAAGATGCTGCCAGATCTGCTGAGAATTTCCAGCAATTTCTGTTTTCGACTCCAGCAAATTGTTGCTCATCCCTAATTTACGAATTTTTTTCCAGTTTTATTCTTTTGTGCTCTTCAAGGGAACTTAACAATAATCAAGGGATACTTCGTTGGCTCTTTGTCAGATGGCTCTGCAACAACATACCTCTACGCATCTTTTGCAACTCAAGGTAACAAATGCAGTCCCATCTCACGTGACAGCGGTGATTCCCTTGCAGGTGTCAGACGTACGACGTCGGGGGCGGGGTGAAGGACGCCTTGACGTTAAGAACGCGCCTGTCTCCGGATTCCAAATCAGCTGTTGCGGGACATGATGGCGCGCTATTTCCACAGAAGCTGCTGTGGGCACCGGGGAGAAGGACTGAAGGTGACCAGACCTATCGTCCCAGGGCAGCTCCTCTACTCCGCTTCGCCCTACACTTACATCCCCTCCAAGAAAGCCATGGGCTCCGTCTGTGAACACTGCCTTTCGAGGTACCATTGATGTCCTACTGCATGTTGCATATTGATGGTCATGTTTTATCACAATAATCAAATAATATAAACCGTCACGGTGCGAAACATCCCGTATTTGTTGTCTGTATTACTGACTTTTTGAAAACCAAGCCCTTGTGTGATTTTTCCCTTGCACATGAGAGAGTTACAGATATTAAAACACAACAGGATAACCAGCAATACAATCTTCTCTTCCTCCAAGTTGTAATATATGAGCATTGCCTCGTTATTCACTCGTATTGTACACTCAAGTTGAAAAAAAAATTAGATTATAGCGACCGCAGGAAGTCTCAAGGCACTTTACAGCCGAGGAAGTACTCTTCAAATGTAGTCACTGTTGTGGTGCCGGATATGTGACCGGCAGAATTGAGCAGAGCAAGCTCGCACGCGTGCACAGGTAGCGATAACCAGATACAGATCGCATTTAGTGAAGTTAATTCAGGCATGGTGTGCACGATATGTCGAGTGAAGGAAATATGCTTGAAAGCAACTTCGAAGCATCAGCTGGGACTAGAAGCAGAAGAGTTAATTTCTGAGCTATTATAAGGCCTCGGTGCCGGTTCCCATTAGCCAGTTCACAGAATTATTACAGTGCAGAAGGAGGCCATTTGGCCCATCGTGCCTGCATTGGCTCTTATTTAATGTCACTCTTTTGTCTTTTCTCCATATCCCTGCGCACCATTACTATTCCAAAAAATAAAACCGGTTCCCCCGCCAATGCTCAATTGAACATGCCTTCACCCTATTTCCAGGTAGTGCATTCCATGCTCCAATTACTTGCTGTTTGGGAGGAGGTGGAATTCTCCTAGCACCCTTGCTTTCTTAAAAAAATAGTTGGAATGAAAGCACAATGACGTTGGACACGTTAACTGGGCAGGTTGATGTGTGACTTGAATTGCATTGGGATTAAAACTGGCACATAATAGACAAACTATATTTAGATCTGGTGAAACAGCAATTGGCTTCAACTGTCAATCATAATAGGTGTTTAAATATGCAAAATGTCAAGTCAGATTTCTACCACATGGAGACACTTGAGAATCTTAATGAGTATGAAGGTTGACTAAAACAGGGCAGTTAAATTAAATCAACACATTGAAAAAAAAACCCAAACACTAAGGAACTTAATAGCACAATGTGGAGCTGGGGGAAACACAGCAGGCCAGGCAGCATCAGAGGAACACGAAAGAGGACGTTTTGGGTCAGGACAGGTGCAAGGAGAGAACTTATGTACAACTGGGTGTGGTTCAGAGTCAACTGCATTGCTGTGGATCTGGAGTCAAGTGCAGGCCAGATTATGAGGGTGGCAGATTTAATTTCCTGATGACAATGGGTCTTATAATAATTGATGCAATGTGTTTTTCAATAGTGATGCAGCAAAATGGTTTGCTCTTAGCTGTCACCTGAAATGGCCCAGCAAGCTGTTCGATTGTATCAAGCTGCTACAAAAAGGAAAATAAAAGCAGTTGAACCATACGACATTGATCTAAGCATCAGAAACAGCCATGGCAAACCCGGCCCTGCAAAGTCCTCTTAGTAATATCTGGGGACTCGTGGAAAAAACTCATGGTCCAGATCAGAGCCCTTCAAAATATAATAAGGAGGTAGCCTAAACCCTAACTTTTTTCCTACTTTAAAAGTAAATGTCAGGTGCTGTGTTCCAGATGCAATTTGATTAGTCAAGCTACTTTGTTAAGCAGAACATAATTTTAAATTCAAAGATGATAGTTAAAATACAACAAAAGAAACTTCTGGAATAGTTTAACTCTCTATTGGGAAACTTAACAGAATAATAGGTACAGTAACTATTAGTAATTAACTGTTCCAACATAGTAATATCCCATAACAGCACCCTTAGTTAAAAGGGCAACTACAGAAAACAGATCGTCTGACATGCAGTTCTCTAATCCAGGAGGGAAAAGCATCAAAAGACAATTCAGAGAGACATTGTAGCAGCCAAGAGAGA